CGATAGATAAAAAGTGAAAGCCCCAAATCGTAAGATGAGGAAGGACAGCATCTCGGGAGGGAGAAGGACCTCCTGGTGTTCGGCCACAGACCCACAAACAGGCCGCACCCTCTGCATCAGAGAAGAGAATCGATAGCGGTCCCATAAGAGGGACGAATGAATTAAAAAAAGATATTATCCAATTCACTGGTTTACTTGACGAGAATAAGAATAGGTAATACTAGTGAAGTAATAGATTGGTTTACAAAAAAATTAAGAGAATCGTATCAAAGAATCACACTCTGATCGTTGAAATTTTGCACCGGCGTACAAAAGTTAGAATAACGAAAGTGCATTACTAAAAATTGAAACGGTGTGACTCTCAATTTTGATGATGTGCTATACAGAAGGATGACAGAGAACATGGTTTCTAGTAGACCCGAAGGCTTAAATTGTAACAATTTGCCGCTCAGTTCTCCGAAGTAGAACAAAATCTTCGAATTGAGAAAATATGGATCAAGCGATGAATAAAGATAGACTCACTCAGAAGACCTAGCAAATTGCTGGTATCCTTGAAATCTCAAAAAAGGAAATAATGAGAAATGAACAGAAGTAAAATCTTTGGAAAGAGCAGCATCAAAATGGCTGAGATCCTTGAAATCTCAAAAAAAGGAAATAATGAGAAACGAACAGCAGTAAAATCTTTGAAAAGAGCAGCATCAAAAATCAAAATCAATTGGAGAAGCGAAACAAGCTCATGGTTGAAGAAATACATTACAATCCTGACAAAAGTATTACAAGGATTCACAGCTCTACCTTAGAGACACCGCAGGTTCCGCCAACCTCACCTACCATTCAGAGCAAACTGCTAATTCTTATCTAGCACAAAAATGGATCAACTTCAAAAAGTTGAAGTCGACGTAATTTCTCTCATGCTCCCATGAACGATTCCGATCAATCGCAGAAGGAGTTTAAGGCAGCTTTGGGAAACTCGTTCTTCCAAATCTCAAACAGATTAGTAGGGTTCGACACACTTTTTCGAGCGTTCGGAGAGGTATGAACAAGCAATGGAAGGAAAATCAGTGCGTTTCTTCTTTTACACCACCCAAGCTCACATCTGTAACTTCATAAGTGGCTTACCTCCTTGGATGGGTACGAACCGAAAGATAAGCCACTTATGGAGAGCATCCCTTGTCTTGCAACAGCGCCAGGGAGTAGAAGGCCTAGGAGGGAACGCTTGGGAAACGGGAAGTTGCTCCGCACGCTAGAGTCTCTCCTCCAGAGTGGTGTGCCTCAGTCTCGGTCACGAATTTGACAAAAAGGGGATACGCGGTTTTGACTGCATTGCCACCACAATGCCCTTATCTTGTACATCAGTAAGAAAAACCGCAACGTGAACTGCTCATCCCATCCAGATCAAATGGTTCACTATAATACTTTTGGAAGCTTTTGTGAGAAAGTGGATAGAAAGTACAAAAACAGATTGAAGACGGGCTCAAATCTTTGGTCGACCAGGGCTCCAAAGCTCTTTGGACGAAAAAAAGCACAGAGGGACTTATATGGAGCCACATCACAAAATAACGCTCAATTCCGGGTGGCACTACGATAATAGAAGTAGAAAAAAGGAAAAAAAGAAAAGAAAACGAAGGATGTGAATATTTTTAATATTTAAGTGTCGACTAAATATTATTTACACTTACAACCCCCTCCACCAAGTTTTGGCCGATTTCATAAACATCCGCATGCTAATGATAAGATTTGAATAGGTGAAGGGAATAGTAGTGCCGCTTGTGCAGAACAGACAGTATTGAAAAACTGGCACAAACTTGGAACTGCCCGTAAGGCCATAACGATAAACACACTGGTTAGGTATATTTATTTGAAAAATGCAGTAATATCAAGGATAAACCACGGCACATTTTCTGACTGCGTAAACAGTGCACTTTTGTTCTTCATTTTATCAGTATTCAAAGTTTGTATTTTCTGACAACAATAATATAAGCTTTGCCTTCCGTATCGGAGAACAAATACATTGAAGATATCTGCTTAATGAAGCAGTGGATTCAGAGCAATGGGTTTTCTTTTTCGAAACCGCAATATTTGACTGATTCATATTATCATTCCTGACAACTTGGCTGTTTCGTTTTGCCAGTCCCAATACATGTGATTTTTCAAGAAACGAGATAGGTAAACACACCCATCGGCAGTGAATCACGGTGAGGAGAACAACAATTTGAACTGTAATTCATAAGTCTATATTACTTGAACATAAGAATTCCACAGTTGGGAAAGTGGCACCGAAATTGCTTGAACTTCACTCCACCCGGAAAAGCACGTTTTAATGAAATGTGCTCTGAGTGTCTGAACACCATACTCTGCCGGGAGTATAAAGATGACATATGTAAGAAAGCGTTCTATGTGTAAAAGACACTTAGCAAATGACTCGTGATAGTGAATGTGAAATGAAAAACATAAAGATTCATTTACCAAGTCAGAACGCCACCCACTGAACCTTCAGCCGTCAAAATGACTGTTTAAAAAGATGTACAATCCGGAATATTAGCCCATCAAAATTATTTCCTAGAGCCACATTTCGGTTTGCTCATTAATTCAGAATACCAAAACGTTCGAGACCACATAAAGAGAAAGACAGGGGGCATAAGGACAAATGGTGCATGGAGCAAAAGAAGGAATAAAAAGAGAAAAGAAACGATGAAGTAGTGATCCGGATTGAACCAAACTATCAAAATATCACTGATTTTCCAACATGAGTTGGAGAATTGAGGCAAATAGAGAGAAGAATTATCTGCTGAGTGCGGATGATGATACAAGTAGAAAAAAAGAAAAAAAAACGAAGAAAAAATATACTCACCACTGCTGGATATGCGAGTTCCCTGATGAGGTACGTTATCATGGGTTCTACATGTCTCTTTAATGTTTGATGCTTGCTTGCGTAGTCGACAAGCAGCGGTAACGGGTCCAGTACCATAGATACATGCCTTTCTATTACTGGGCGTTCTGTAATTATGAACAAGTGAGCATATTTGTTCAGTGCCTGGATATACACCAACAGTGAGCAGTTTCATGAGCACTCCAACCAATCAATAGTTATAGCTAAAACGAAGTGAGACTGCATGTCAACGATTTGATTGCATTAGACATTGGTAAACGGACTCGCTTTGCAGAGGCTACAGCAAAATTAAACGTGTAAACGTTGCGCTTTTTATGGCAGCATAAATGGCTGCGTCCAAATTGACGTACACAACACACACTAACATATAATAAATTGAAAAGTAAAGAGCACGGATTTCAAATACTGATCTTGTTCATAGCCGATGTGTGATATTCTCGTAAACGCATGCGTTCAACGTGGCTTCTATTGTTTCAATTGTATATGTGCATAGGAGATGCTGTATCATCCCGCATAGCACCAATCGCCCTTTCACCCGGATTGAATAACAACTACTCATTTCGAAAAACAAACAACAATAATACAGAAAACAAGAGATTCAAGACTTAGATTCCGCTTGTTAGTCCGTAATCTACTGCATTTCGCTAGATGTTAAACTCCCGAGATGCGTAATTCTGACAAATTTTTGAAATGTATCTATTATAAAGTTACGAACTTTAGAAGAAGAAGTTCCTGCACTTCCAAGAACATAAGGTAAGCAGGATCTATATGAGAAAGGACCACTAAAAGCCTAGGTGACTATAACTCGCCAGAGAAATGGGGTAACAGAATAAACTATTCCTTACCTTTATTCCATTCAAACGACGCAAGTCTAAAGCAAGAATCAAATGAGAGCACGACGTTTGTGCGTGGATACTAGTCGGCTCAAACAACTTTCAGCAGCATTTCACCAAAAGCATATTCCCTAAAAAGTTTGATTTCAAAGCAAATCAAATAATGATGACTCGAAGGCGGCTCCCCCACTTTCTTCACGATTTGGGGCGCGGCCGCGGCGAGCGCGGCCGAGTCGATAGTGCCCGCGAACTGTGTGGGTAAATTTGAAAACGCATCACCACCACAGTTCGCGGGCACTATCGACTCGTCCGCGCTCGCCGCGGCCGCGCCCCAAATCGTGAAGAAAGTGGGGGAGCCGATTATCAACCGTTCACAATAGATGTGAGCGATCTTTGTTGCTTGTATGATATGAGGTAAATTCGCCGCATCACGAGGACCTTCTATCCAATCGGCTAAACCACTTATGTGTAACCGTCGACCTGCTCCGGTTCCTGCAATGCACCGCACTTTTACTGGAATATGATATTTCCACTGGCTTTGGAGGTGAAAAGAACCAAGACCGGTGCAGACTTTGCGAATCCAGCGATTCGCTAACGACCTTCTGTCCTCCGCTAGCGAACCGCTAGATTCGCAGAGTTTGTCATCGGCCTAATTAATCGCGCTAAATCATATGATAGTTCCAAGTTTGATGCTAAGCCAGCAAACAAGGCTTCTCAAATTCGGGTAATGAGTATCGTTGAAAAAAATATTTGCGCAACGTGGGGAATTATACCTCTGCATGCTGCACTGTTACCAAGGATTGTGGTTAGTGTTACAAAGCAAGTTAACGAGAGGTCAGGACTAGTTTTGTATGAACAGAACTCGAGTATGTGGGGTGTGGCATTCAAAAATAAAGCCTATTCAATATGTTGCAGCCTTTAGCTGTTCAGTGAAGTTCTTTGCATCACACTGACAAAAAAGTCAAGAAAAATATCATATTATGGAATCGCAGAAAAGGTATAGAGTTTGACCATGGTTTAGGAATTCTCAGCTTACTAAATGGAAATATTGGCTACAGCAACAATCACAAAAGTGCGACGAGCACGCGATAGAAAAGAAAATTCCTAGACGCACCTCGTCAAATGATTTTGCACATGCTGCTTCTAATCTGATTAGGGAAGTAGCGCATTATTGCTTGAGACCATGGGTGGCCTTTTCGAAACTGCTGCATAAGCAGCTCACGTGCACGAAAAGGGTACTAGCAAGGAAACTATGCATGTTCAGATGTGTGGTTCTGTATGAAACAGGCCTTCACTGCACTGAGAAATCCTCTTCCATGTTTGACAATTATTTGAAATTGGGAGTGTTTTGAACAGTAACTGTAAGTAGATGGCTATATTGATTACAGTTTATCTAGGAACGGATAATGATGGGTATGAAAGGTTGTCCAATTTTTGATTGATAAGCAACTCTTACGGCGAAGCTGTTCTTTCGCTTACTCGTGCAAAATTTCACCAGCGTGTCACTTCCGGCAAACGTGTTGCTCATCCTTTTTTTTCTAACGCATCACATTTCTTCGACAATTCCCTCTTATTACACGCAGCATCATCTTCTGTTCCTCGACATGTTTTTTAGTCTTACACCTGCTGCATCTTTGAGAAGCCCTTTTCCGAAGATTTACCTCGAAAAAAAAGCAAGGGGTCTGTTGCCCCCAGGGGGGGGGGGCTGCTGTAACTGCTTCGTGATGGGAAAATATAAACTACGTGATGCTTTCAGGCATTCGATTAAGCAAAAATAGTTCGGGCAAGGTTTGCCGATGTAAGGAGAGGAAATGGTGCCGTGATCGCTTGAGCGTAAGGAAATCAAAACATATCAGAGCTAAAATATTTGCTTGAAGGCGGATTTTACGAAGAAAAGGTGCCTTTTGTAAATCAAGTTAGAGGTGGTCAGTGATGCACGAAATAAGGAAGAAACCAGAAAAAAAGAAACAGTACTCAAGAATGGGATCGCACCCGTAAAGAAGCCCAATCTGTCTCTTCACTCCGAAAAAGTTTACGTTTCTTCGCCTGTCGTCTCTGTCGTGGAAATTCTCTTGAGCTATCAGGGTAGCCAAGAAATCATCAAAACAAGGTCAGGCAAGAGAACAAAAGAAAGCAAAAGAACACGTCGATAGAGAAGCAAAAACTGAAGCTTTGGCTACGCGAGGAAGCTGAGTTACAGTTTTCGACATGTTTTGTTTTGTTAACTGCTGTACTTATTTCAAAGGTCTCGCTGATTGTACAAGTGTTGACATGTAATGTTTTGTCCGCTCCTGAAAGCTTTGGCAGACAACCATTTTGACAGGTTCTCTTTCGTTAGCCACAAATGTCCCCACGTCGGACAACAGACCCGCATGCATTCACCAAACGAGAGAACTACGAAAATAAACAAAACGGAGCAAAAATTCACCCATTTCTTTCATATCGCTCATATCGTCATCTCGGCTAAGTAAGTCGTACCTGAAAACTTTCCCCCTCCAATTCTAAAAGTGACAAAGAAAAGAACGTGAAGTAGTAGAACTCACTCGTTCTGCCTGAAAACATATTCTGTGCCGAAGAAGCGATAACTCTAAAGATGTTACGGCTGTTTTTAGTTGACGCTAAACGAACAAAAGTGTCGCTATCCAGTTCGGGTTCAGCTTTTGCGAGTAATCTATGAAAACACTGAGAACTTCATGAATTAAGAAGCACTGAAAGCTTGGAAAATCAGCTAGGCTATGCATAACACAAAGCTTGAACAGGAGCAGATAATAGGCAGTAACAACGGCAATATTGGGAGTTTACAAAAGGCTGCACCGAGGGGTTCTGCACAAAACATGTGAGTTTTGAACGCTAGTTTAATCCGACCATACAAAATGTTAATCGCTACACGATTGCAAAGAGGAATCAAAGAAAGAAGACCTTACTTTGTCCAAACGGTCGCCAGAGCCAGAATGTATGTGACAAACACGAGTAAGATCAATTGCTGAAGGCGAAGCCAGATCATGCGGTATTACCCCACCGCATAACACAAGCCAAAAACTACTAAATGACCTCACCAGAGCTTCTGCAGCTTTAAGAAACTTTCAAAGTAGCACCTTATCTGATAACAGCGATGAGAACATGCAAACGGACTTTTTCTGGAATGAAAATCTAACCAGTCAAGAGAGACTACGAATACGACCGGTCACCTGCGTGCCTTGCCCGACAGCGCGTCAGTGCGCCTCACAGGCGCATTATTCTCCTACCGTAGTCGCAAGGGTGATCGCAGCTGGTGGTCCGCTCTCCGACTAACCGTCCATCGTGATTGAAAGGATAGCTTGTGGTCATAACTGGATCAATTCCGCAAGTAAACGGGGAATTTTTCATGTTTATATTTCGATCCTTCATATAATTATGGACCGTCCATCATTTGAAGCGATAAAGGTTCAGAAGAACTTCACTTTCCTTCCAGTCAATTGAGGGTGCTTTCCCGGATGTAGCTTCCCGAATGGCGTCATGGGAACTCTTGAAAGGAATTCATTCGGACCGAAAAAAGAAGCGTTAGTTGCAAAGGATTAGTGGTAGGTCCTGAGGAGTTCTTGAATCCCTTAAAGAGATTGGTGGTGCTATAGATTGTGTTGAGAGTTACTGGGTTGAGAAAATCGAATATTTTTTTACGACAACGGGAATCTTATTTGCCCAATCGCTAGCATCTATTGACTAAAAGAGTGACCAAAGGGCGGGCAGCAAACCTGGAAGCAATTATGGGCGTTTCCCTATAATTCACGACAATCAAGACTTTGCTAGTTCAACGCAAAAATACGTTTTTTCATCTGATTTCGAAAAGACAAGGGTAATTCCTGAAGTTTCTCTAATTTCCAAATTCGGAGAAACCTTGCAATAAGCATAACATTTCTACAGTGATTAGTCAGAAGTTCTAGCTCATTGGAATCCCGGGCATGGTCAACCGCCGCTCGGAAATTCCTAACGAAGAGGGTGATCGTGTTTGCTATTTACAGATGGGCGGCCATGCAAGAGTTATTAGAGGGGGTCGGGTGGTGGAGGATGAAGGGTCATGTTTATACAGGAGGAGGGGTTAAAAAAAGACATTTTGCCCATGTCGCACTTCGGCCTTTTTTTTTCTTCGCAGAGATTGCCGTCGTTGACGGAAGTTCCTCAGCAAAATATTCCCTAAATGTCCCTCTAGTACACGCAGGCCCTCCTTCACTGCCCTCACCGTCTTCAGAATATGACGTCATCTGTCACCGTCGTCAGCTCAAGGAGGCCTACCGTAACTGCTTCAGCCTGAAGCTCTTACATAATTTCGTGAATCGATTCAATGTTGGATAGTTTCCTAGAGGACTTAGCTCTGAGTAATTGCAAACTTCCTCACCCAACTCGCTTTTCAGAAAACGTTGTAATGGTACAGGATCAGTCGGCGACCCCCTTGAGCTCAACCAGTTTACCATGTTTCTAGGGCAAATTTTTCTTACCGTCTCCACTTGATATTTTTCTTACCGTCTCCACTTGAATAACGTGCCTTCTCCGAAGACTAAGTAACAGCTGAAAGTGAACATTGCCTAGACAAACGGTGCCAACGAGATCACCAATGGTCTAACGCCTCGCGGGGGGGGGGGGGGAAGATACCAGCTCTTGTTGGTACTTATAGAAGATAAAGATAAAAGGATAAAGCATTTGCCGTTGATCAATCCCTTTTTGGGATGCGGCACGCATTCTACTTCCATTTGTACATTCGTAGTGGCGTTTGAATGCGATGTGGCCTATACAATGACTTGCGGGGGCCAGCCGATGTACAAGTCAGTGTTTTTATCCTCCCAGACAAGTCTGGTACCAATTAACCGACCCCGGAGGGATGGAAGGCTTGGTTGGCCCGGGCGACTCACGACCCAGGATTTGATCCCCGGACCGCTCGCGTGGTGAGCGCGCCACTTGTCACTACACCACTTCCGCCCCATAAAGCGTCATAGAATGAACAAATAGAATAAGTAGTAAATAGAAATATGTTTTGTTTTATGTAATAATTCCAATTGTTAAATCTTGTAAATGTATGTTTTATGTTTTACGGGGTCTATACAACGAGGTAGTCTAGTTTCCGTTTCGCGCGTGCCCTTAGACGGAAACTAGACGGATTGAGTATCCCTCCTGTGAGCTCATGCAGTAATAAGTAGGAAGGCACAAACTGTTAGTCTCAAGATATTTATTAATTAATTTTAATTTCAATTTTTAGAAATTTTAAAAGCTTATGAACATACTTGGATATTTCCTTCTATTTCTCACACCCTGTCTACATTCTTCTTTTATACATATAATCTTGAAGGAACTTACTTTCATAAATTCACTGTATTCATATTAATATTAATGATATTTATACAAAATGAAATCTTCTGGATTGAGGGTTCGTTTCGTGTTCGCTAGTAACTGCTCTCTTGTGCTTGCTGTTAGGTCCACTAGCCCTCGTCTCCATCCGAGCAAGCCTGCCAGCATCCTAGGCCGAAAAACTCCATTCGTGAATACCTTGTGAAGTGAAATATCTACAGCGGAGCAAGATTAATCATTATCTGCCTTGAATTGAAATATGATGCCCATTGCAGGAATGCAGAACCTAAGTAATTACTTGAGGGACCTTCTTCAAACTTATTATCGTGTTTTTCGAGTGGCCACCGCTTATTGCTTTCCCATCATAACAATATTCCGCCTTAATTTCGAAAATTTCCCATAATTATTCCAACATTTAAAATAAAAGCAATGAAAAGTGAAAGCCATTTTTTGAAGTCATTTTTGGTGAAATTAATGTGGCTAACTGTCCTCAATGGCATAATACTACCCGATAGGCCAAACTTCGTCGCGATAATTCGTGTGGTAATCTCTAAATGTCAACCATTAATTGTAGCGCGAAAAGCGGCATAGTCGACTGCCTTGAGTGCCTAAAACGCTGTTTTGTCGAAGATCATGATCCATTTTTCGCAAACCTTCTAATGTCACGGAGGGTGCAGTGCAAAATTCAAGGCGAAAGCAGATAAGATGGTTTGTCAGTTTGCCCGCGTCAGCCCACGGTTCCGACCACGGCTCATCACTCCTGAAACCGATGCCTGATGGGTAGCAGAGGCACGGCACGGCCGATCGATGCACCGAGTCGACTCATCCCTCAAATGCCTCAAGACTCTCCTCCCCTCCTGTCACACCAATATGATTAAAAAATTTTTTGTGCGCACTGAATGGCAAAACCGTGTAAACATTTGCTACCTCTAAAGCTAATAACAGTCGACCAGACGTACGTAATGAGAATGTGGCTTCGACTATGTATTATAGGAAAGCAATGGTAGTAAGATATCATAGATTCTTTTGAATTTTTCCACTTCGGGCTACAGCCGCCGTGGCGATACGTGGGCAGACTTCGTACAGGACACTTTAAAGCACCTGAGGTTAAATCAATTGTTTTCCCGATTTTAAACGTGTTAGTGTTTCCGTTTTTTTGATTTCTGCGACACCGCTCAGCATTGTAAAGATGCCGCGGTGTGACGAGTTCGTTTCGGGATTGTCGCCAGGCTTCGTTCACTTTTCATGTCGCGTAGCATGATAGCGATTTGCGCGAACAAGGACCAAAAAAAGTAACCCTCCAACCCATGCTAAAACAGCACTGATCACATTTCTTACCTAGAATAAACGAATGCTCTCAAGTGAAGATTGGAAATCCATTTCAATCTATCAGCAGAATTCATTGTAGCCTTCTACACCGACAAGAAGAATTCGACATGGGAGCGTTGTGCACGGTTCGACGCCTAAACGTGATCATTCGACGGACGCATATACGACATAAATTGACAACGCTGACGCGGGGGGTAGGAGTATCCATCAGCTAACTGATTGAAAGAATCGCGCAGCTGATTCAAGCTGGAGCAATTACGGAAAACCTTCTTGAGCCCGACGACGATTTCAGGAATACTTTGCCGAGAAAGGGCTGCCCGCACGCCAGCCTGTACGATCTGAAGCTTGCTGTGAATATGCGTCACACAAAGTATCTCTTATTCTGGCCACCCCTGCACAACGACCGCGAGGCTAGCCGGTAGATAATCAGCATTTTTCCTTCCAGGCGAGTATGGCATAAATTATGGGCGACGGACTTTTGGTGCGTCCGGGGTTGCACGCGGCGAATCGCGCGTGCAACCCCGGACGTAAAAAATGTAAAATGTAAAAAAATGTAAAAAAATGTAAAAAAAAAGCGTAAAAAATGAACCAAAAGTCCCGCACCCATAAATATCCCATAAAGGAGAGACGGAGGGCTTGCGTGTCCTGAACGGGATTCTAGATTAGGACCTTTAAAATTAAACGACTTGACTCTTCCGTGCTAACGGTGAGAGGCGGCCACGACAGTCCTCAATCCGGATGCAACATACTATGTCCAAATGCCGAGCAAATTATTGAGAAATTATCGATCAAACAACAAATGCAAGTTGACTGTGCAAGTCCCCGGCATAGCAAATCATATATTTTCTAGCACTTGACGTCATTATTGACAGATACACATATAACATGGAAATATTCGGAAACCTCGTTTTGTATACAAGTCAAGCCATTTTTAAGACACAGCAAAAACCCTCGAAGCATTCTTCATCAGAACAGCCTTTAGAGAAAAAGTTCCACTGGAGTAAGTTGGATTACATAAACAAAAAATGAACACACGGCGAAAGAAGGCAGCAGCGGTGGTGCTTCAAAAAACGAGGAAAGACATTAATAATGTTGTAAAAGAGAAATCGTTAGCGAATGAACAAATGGATGAAGTTCGTTAGAGTTCAAAAAATAGTAAGAAAAGGTAGCAAAGGAATCATCCAGCGCTGTGCAAAACGATAGAATACCAGCCGAAACTCATATGTCGATCCCTCCAATTCGCTGCGCTGCTGAATCCACAGTAGCGCAAAATATGTATGTTCTCCCCTACAGAAGACGGGCTATCTCAGCATGGTTTGTATTGAATCATTTGAATCAGCCAGTGCAGTATCGGCTTGTGATGGTAAGCATATAACCCTTCAATTCATGGAACATCTCTGGGCAGACTTCTTGCTCTTG